TGAAACAAGGAGAGACAGTGCTCAGCCCTGCCTGCACCCCGAGCCCTGCCTGCACCCCACTGCTCCATCCCACACCCTTCTCCATGCCCTGTCCCCTCCCTGCCTGCACCCCTGCCCCCCCTTTGCACCCTGCCCACACCCAACTCCTGCATCATGCACCCTCTCCATGCCCTGCCTGCTCCCTGCTGCTGCCCTACTTTCAGCCCACCCACACCCTGCCTGCACCCTGCCTGCCTCCTGCTGCTGCCTGCACCCTCCCCACATGCTGGGCCAAGCTAACGAGCCAGAGCTAATGGAGCTTCACTGCTCTTGCCCTTAGCAGCTGCTGGTCTCACAGCATTTCCACGGCATCCCCACTGCATCCCCAGCACATCCTCGTTGAATGCCTATTGCTTCCCCACAGCAGCCTCACAGCATCCCCAGTTCATCCCCACTGCATCTTCATTAAATCTTCAGTTCATCCCCACTGTACCCTCAGCTCCTCCCCACTGCATCCCTACTGTACCCCAGTCCATCCTCACTGCATCTTCACTAAACCCCCACTGGATCCCCACTATATCCCCACTTCACCCCAGTTACACCAGTTGCATCCCCCCTCTGGTACCCTTGCCAACAGCAAGCCCATTCCCCCACAAATCCAACACAATCCAGGTGCATTCCCCACTCCCCACCCTGGTCCCCCTGGCACATCCCACTCCCCAACACATCCCAATGCCCTTCCCCAGGCCCAGCTCTGTGGGCACACATTAAATTTACCTTTTTCCTGCTGGGAGACAGTGACACAGACCTTTAAAAATAGCCTGTGCCCGGGCATCTCATTGCTATGGGAGAAACCCCAACCCCAAGCCTTCACCTTCCAACCCCAACGACTCCAAAATTGGGGAAAACCACCCAAAAATGACCCAATACTGAGGTGGGACAAGTGGATTGGGGGCTTGCCCAGGTCTGCCTTCACCTTCCTGCCCTGGCGACTCCAAAATTGGGGCAAACAACTCAAAACCACCCAATTTGAAGTGGGGTGAGCTGGGAATTTGGGGTGTGCCTTCGATTTCCCATTCCAATGACTCCAAAATCAAGGCAAATTACTCAAAACCACAACCCAGTTTCGAGGTGAGATGAGAGGGATTTGGGACCTGCCTTTGCCTTTGCCTTCCCACCCCAACAATTCCAAAAACTGGAACAAATGACCCAAACCCAACCCAGTTTTCGCACGGGATGAAGGAGATGTCGTGCCTGCCATTGTCTTCCTGCCCCAACAATGCCAAAATTGGGGCAAATGATCCAAAACTACCTGATTTTGGGGGTTCAGGGCCTACCTAGTCGCCGTTGCGGAGATCGCCGCGGGGGCTGTTGGCGCACTCAGCCTCCTTGGTTTTCCGCTCCATCTCCCCCCCTTTGATCTTCTTGCGGGTCATATGGCCACGGAAACTCGCCTGGATCTTGGCGGCTGCCGCGTTGGCGTCGGGATCATCCAAGGGGATGTCCAGGATGTCCTCGTCCAGCTTCGTACAGGCGCCCTCCTGATGGTGGCAATGGGGGAGGGGGAGACATGCAGATGCAGCACCCCAAAAAGGGCACCGCCCCCAATTAATCCATTAAAGATGATCCTCAGTTAGGCCCTGGGCTAAAAATCTGGTTTATTTGTTGAAAAATCAGGTTTCTCTGCTAAAAAAATTAGGTTTCTTTGCTAAAAATGAGAGCTCTTCACTAAAAATGGGAGGTTTTCAACAAAAAAAAAGGGTTCTTCGCTAAAACTAAGGGTCCTTTCCTGACATATTAGAATTATTTGCTAAAAATTCAGGTTTCTTTGCTAAAAAATGAAGTTTCATTGCTAAAAATGAGGGTTCTTTGACAAAAAAAAAAAAAAGGGTTCTTTGCTAAAAATAAGAGTTCTTTGCTAAAAATCGGAGGTTTTCACGAAAAAAGAGGGTTCTTTGCTAGAAACAAGGGCCCTTCCCTGAAATATCAGGATTCTTTGCTAAAAAATGAAGAGTCTTTAGTAAAAAATGAAGGTTCTTTGCTAAAAATGAGGGTTCTTTGCTAAGAAAATACATCTTGGATAAAAATCAGTTTATTGCTAAAAATTAGGGTCCTTTGCTGAAAACAAAGGTTCTTTGCTAAAAAAAAATGAAGGTTCTTTGCTAAAAATGAGGGTTCTTTGCTAAAAATTAGAATTTTCCACCAAAAAATGAGGGTTGTCTGCTAAAAATCAGGATCCTTTGCTAAAAACAATGTTTCTTCAATAAAAATTAAGAGGTTATCATTAAAAAGGAGGGTCCTTTGCTAAAAATATGGGGTCTTTGCTAAGAAATCCAGTGACCTTGCTAAAAATTAGTGTTGTTCACTAAAAATGGGGGTTCTTCACTAAAAATGAGGGTGCCTTGTGGGTGTCTCAAGGGATTTGCAGCTGAAGATGCTACATCCTGAAATCCCGCCTGAATCCACCTGGCCACAATCCTCCTGTTGCCAGGGCCAGATCCAAAGGTTGGGATACAGGGAGAGGAGCACCCCTAGGAGCAGAGGGTGGGTTGGGGAGCGTTGGCACTGGGAGGGTCACACCACAGAAGCTGAGCCATTGTGCCTCAGTTTCCTCTTCCCTGTTGCATCCTCCTGCATCCCTGCTCAGGGCTTTGGCTGAAAACACTGGGAAATTTGTGAAGGGAGTGAAGCCAGAGGGAAGGAAAAGCCCCCCATCCCATATAAATCACCACATCCCACCAGAGTCTTTGGACCTGACACTGAGGTCAAGGGGGGAAAAAAGCCCCCGAGAAAACCTAAGGAGGTGGGAGCAAGTGCTGATTGCATCTATCGTGTTGCCCTGGAGCATCTTAAGGGATTTAAAGGAGTTGATTTTGGGGATGATTATTCAGAAACTGTGGATTTGAAGGGATGCTCTTCCAGTTGGAGCATGCCACAGCTCCACAAAGTTGCTCCAGATGTTTTCCTGGGGTGAAAGAGGAGAGGAGGAAAAGAGCAGCGGTGGCTTCAGTGACAGGTCTGAGGTGGAAATGATATGGCTAGGGTGGAAATTCTATAGCCAGGGATGAAATCCTATAGCCAGGGCTAGAAATCCTATAGCCAATGCTGGAAATCCTATAGCCATGGGAGAAATCCTATAGCCAGGGGAGAAATTCTATAGCCAGGGAAGAAAATCCTATATCCCAGGGAGAAACACTATATATAGAGGGGTGGGGAGCCTATATCCAGGGAAGAAATCCTATCTCTAGGGAAGAAAAACTGTATATGGGTGGCGGGCACATCCTAAATCCAGGGAAGAAATCCTCCATCCTAGGGAGAAATCCTCCATCCAGGCAAAAAAAACCTCTATTCAGGGGGATCCTATATCCAACGGGATAAATCCTATATGAAGGGGTGAAAACCTATATCCAGGGGTGAAATCCTATATCTAAGGGGGGAAAATTAATATCCGGGGGAGGGAATTCCATTTTGGGGGGGGGGGCTAATCCTATACATAGGGGAGAAATCATATATCCAGAGTGGACTTTGCCTCTCTGGAGGTGCCTAGGATGGGAGATGCAAGGATTCTCCCTGTGCTGCTGGCTGAGTAGGAGGGAGAAAAGGGAGGAAAAATGGGGGGAAAGGGGAAAAAAGGGGAAAAAGAGGGGGGGAAGTGGAGAAAAGGGAGAAAAGGTGGGGGAAAGGCAGAATAAAGGGGGGAAAGGGAGGAAAGAAGGTGGCTTCTGCTGGATCAGCGCTCTGAGCTGGCTGGTGGCAGGGCAGTGACGGATGCTCACCCTTGGGTGTTGAGGGGGAAGCCCCCTGCTCCCTGCAGTTAATCCCTGTATCCATAAGCACCCCCCGATCCCACCTGAAAAACCATTTTGGGGAGGGGGAAATGCAGAACATTCTCTCTGTCCACAGGATTTGGGGATGGGGAGGGACATTCCTGAGCGGGATGCGGACGGATCCTGGAGCAGGATGGGGGTTCAGGGAGGAAGGGTGAAGATATGGTCTTGAGGAGCAGGGTGCAGGGATGCAGAGTTTGGTGCAGCACCCCCCCCTCCCTTCCACCTCCCTCAACACCCAAAATCCACCCCCACACCGGGTGGGGAAGAATAAGAATAATAAGAATACTAAACGAAACCCCAAAAAATCCAAATTATGGCCTGGGGGGAGAGGGCGAGGGGAGGACACCTACATTGCAGCAGTCCATGGTGGAGGCCGGGTGGGCGGTGGGCGAGGGGCTCCAGCGAGGGGCTTCGCTTCCCAGCGGCTTCTCCCGGCGCGGGTGGCAAGTTGAGAG